TTTTTTTTTTTTTTTTTCTTTTTCAGATTCTTTTCCATTATAGGTCATTGCAAGACACTGAAAATAGTTCCCTGTGCTCTGCAGTAGGTCCCTGTTTAACTATTTGGCACTCAGTAGAGTGTTTATGTTAATCCCAAACTCCTAATTTACCTCCCACTCCCCCGCTATCCCCTCTGGTAGGTTTGTTTCTTATGTCTGTGGGTCTATTTCTGTTTTGTAAATAAGTTAATTTGTATCATTTTTTTTCGGATTCCACATATAAGTGATATTATATGATGTTTGTCTTTCTCTGTCTGGCTTACTTCACTTAACATGATGGTCTCTGGGTGCATCCATGTTGCTGCAAATGGCATTATTTCGTTCTTTTTTAATGGCTGGGTGGTATTCCACTGCGTATATATATGCACTGCATCTTCTTTGTCCATTCATCTGTCGATGGACACTTGGTTTGCTTCCATGTCTTGGCTATTGTAAATAGTTCTGCTATGAACAGTGGGGCACATGTAACTTTTCAAATTAATTTTCTCCCGTTTCTTTTCAATTAAAGAGGTTAATTTCACTTTTATTTTTTAGTTAATCTGTCTATAACGTAGCAACCTAAGGTAAAGTCATGTCCTCGCTGAAAATAAGATTTAATGACTAATTCACATAGGCAATTGCATGTTTTTGTATCATGAGCTAAACCATCAGTTTTAACCAACTATGCAAGAATTATAAAGCCATTGAAATAAAAGCCATAAAGGCCTGAGTGACTATCCCTAGTCAGACTACGTTAATCAATGGTAAATGCTAAGAGCCTCTGGAATGTCTATTTACCTAATAACTAGTAAAATCATACAATCATTAAAAACATCTTAGGTCAGTTATTAAAAAAAAAAAAGAAAAAGAAAAAGAAAACTGGGCTCAGATAAGCCACACCCCGGCATAGCCCAGACGAGCGGCAGACACATGGTGGCCAGCCACATCTCACCCATTATCCTGTCCCGTGCAGCACAATCATGCTGGCAGCACCCAAGGTAAGGTGATGGATTATCTTGTAAAATTAAGTTTCCAGGAGGAAAAGTCATATCTTTATTCACAGCCAAAGGTCTCGTCTATTATTTCATGTGGTTCTTTTGGCACCTTTAGCAACATCGCAGGCACTTTGCAGAGGCAAACCAAACGGTAGATTTTCCTCTCTTGCCCTCTCTCTCCCTCGGTTCCCAGAAGGAAGCTTTCTTCTCCTCTAGCCACCTCCACAAGCAAGCACAGCGACCCTTTAATCTGTACTGTCCCATGCTGTCCACAGAAGGGACCAGCAGACTTTTCTAATGAGTGCAACAAATCAGATGGATCTTTGTACAGCCCAAGACAGGGGGGCTTTAGGTAGACACAATCCCGACCGTAAGCGTCCTTATTGTATAATCCGCATACACTTAGCCTCACTGTAGTTTTCCAAGGAGAAGCATAAAGTCAGACTCCAAACAGTGTAATCAAACGTTCCATGGGGCTGTGACTCATGGCAATTCACGGCTCCAACCCCTTACACTGGGGGTTCTCTCTTAATCCTCCGTAGTGTTCATTCTTTCAAAAATTGCCATCCAAGCAAGAGGTGAGTGTTGTGCATGCGTGTGGGTGTGTGTTGAAGAATGGAGATTGTTCTTTGCTTTGTTGAAAGAGAAGTCAGGGAGAAGGAACAAAGACAGGCTGAAGAAAAGAGCAGAGGTGGCAAACCAACCCCAGAAGTGATATGTGACTGGAAATCCCACAGGACGCACACATGTCCACAGCAATGACCGTCCTCTGGACCCTGCCTGGCGCTTGGGGGTGGACCACGCACTGTCCTTGGCCTTCATTGTTCTTCTGACACCTTTCCTAAGGTATCCCACACATGTACAGGCATGAACTTATTATACCCATAAAAAAGGATAATTTATTCTTAATTGCACATTTGACCTAAGGATTAAAATGTGTTTGTCATTCAGCCACTTTCCATTAAAACCTTGGGGCGAATTTTTTACATTACAGGAAATGGAATTTTTACATTCTTTATTATATGAAAGAAAGAAAGTTGGGGTGCAAACGACTCCCTGAGAAATGTAAGCAGCCCTTCCTGCTTCTTCCCCACCTTAAAATCAAATAAATTCCAATAATTACCCTCTCAGAGCTCAGTGCCTAAACGAACTTTGCAGCATCAGGTACTACTGATAAGCTGTCAAAAGGGGAGAATATGAAAACTGCATTTATCAGACACCAGCAAAGGTATCTCTCCTCTCCCCTCAGCACCATGGAGCACGTTTGCTTAGGAACAAAGCTCCAGGAGTACCTGCCCTAAAACTATGGCCAGCTTGAAGCCAGAGCGGGTAGAAAGAATCCCATAAAACCAACATTAAGGTCAAAATCGTTTTTTATTTTGCAGTTCACCTGGCTCCTGGCCAGGGCGAGAGTACAAATGGAGGCCGGGCCCCTGGTCTGTTCCTTCTCTCCCCAACCTCCATCCCTCACCAGGGGCAGCCTCGAGCACAGGTGAGTGGACAACCCACCTGTAAGTCACAGCCCATCCTTGGTATCTCCTTGGCTGAAGGGTGCAAACGTGCACACAGTCAGCCTTGGGAAGATGGGCCAGGAGATGGGGACGGGGTGGGCCCAGGAAGTGGCTGCTCCCAGGTATCCAGAACACGGTCCAGGAGGAGTTTGGCTCTGCAGACTTATCTCGCTGCGAGGGCTGTGGCCCCAGGAAGGCCAGAATGGGGCCCTCTGAAGTTCAGGGTCCAGCTGAGGCTGTCCGGCTCTGAAGATGGCACTACCTGGCCCCCTGATTGGCCTGTACGGCCATTTCTGAGACCACCTGGCCCCCTGACCAGTTTGTGAGGCCATTCCTAGCAATCCCCATCTCCTTCCAGGCCTCATGTTAAACTTTAATGCTTGAGGTAGTCCCACCCCTGCTGGTATAACTGAAGGAAGCACACAGAGGACTCCAGCCAGCTGGGCAGGCTGGAGGCTGGGACAGGAGATCTGTCCTATCCTTCCCCATCCTCCCAACCGCAGTAGTCACCACATCTGAAAGGTACATAAAGGTCTTTGTTCTAAGTTCTAAGTCACACTAGGGGGTGTGGGAAAGTGATAAGAAATCTGGATAATTTGAAGTTAATGAGGAATAAAGGAGTCATCCCTGCACAGACTCAGCCATCCATCATTCTCTCTTCTCGCCCATTTACTAATTATCATCCCCAAGCCCACAGGGGCAACGTTTTTAATAAAAATGCAGGTTCACATGGGCGATCCAGAACCAGTACTCTTATGGGAGCAAGGGGCCAAATATCAGAATCTAGGATTGCACCAGAGAATTCCATGACCCGCACAAACCCAGTTCTGGACGTCAGCTGAAAGGCACCCAGAGTTAAATGCATGGTTTCCCCAGAGGCCTCCCCTAAACTTCTGCAAAGCAATCACAAAATAACCCACTGTATCTCCGCAACCTTAGTTTACACCACATCAAACCAAGCCCGGAGCTGAGAGGCCCCAGAGGCTGGTGACAATCTAAGGAGTTCCAGACCCCTGGGGTGTGTGCCCTCCTCCAGCCGGCTCCCCTGAGGAGCCGCTGTTGAGTCTTCCTGGGGCCCAACCGCAGGGCTGCCCCCAGGCCTCCCCCAGGGGCGCCTGATCCTTGGTTACCTGGTTCTTCTGGGGGAGGCGGAGCGCTGACCTCGGGTTCTGGGACGACTTCAGAGGGTGGCGGAGGTGGGGCCGGTGGAGCTTTGACGGGGGTCGTTGACTCCGGGGTCTCAAATGCTTCTTCAGAGTCAGAACTCCTGATGGAGAGAGAGGGGGTGAGCGCAGGTTAGACAGTGGCCGGGGCTGCGTTGGCTCCGAGGGGCCAGTGCTGGGGAGCCGTGCACGGCCTAATGACCCCTCCCAGGACCGGTGCAACCAGTCTCACTGCCCAATTAAACGGTCCGAGTCCAGCCGTGAGCAAAGTCACTTCTCAGCGTGATTCCCAGAAGTGAAACTCGTTATCACCAGCTTTGCGCCCAAATGATGGAGTCTTTGAACTCAGCTCTACACGAAATAACATATTTCTGGCCTTAGTGGCAAATACAAACAGTGGAATCTTTTGATCAACGTTGGCTCGCGTTATTTTGGCAACGATTCAGGCAAAATGCTATGGAAGCATCCCCAGGGACACTCTGTGATGCTGTGGTTCCAACACACCCATAGGACCCTCACTCCACAAGACAAAATCTCATTAGGTCTCTCTCCCCCTCACCCCATCATTCTCTCCCACTGCCTTTCTTTCGTAGCACAAAACTTGTTATTATAGATTTAGTCACTTTCTAATCATGTTAATGATCTTTCCCTTCTATTGAGCTGAAAGGCCAAGAGGACAGCCTGTTTTGTTTTGTTTTGTGTTTTTTTGTTTATCACTGCGTCCCCAGCCTAAACATCTGGTAAGTGAATACATGAATGAATGAGAGCTGGCAGGTGGTCAGGTGGAGGACGTGTCAGACTAAAACACAAAGCACAGCCCCCCTGCTGATCCCAAGAGTGTGAAAATGGCCCTCGCTGGTCTGGTCTGCAGCAAAGTCTCCTCTCAAGGAAGATTCTTCAGCCAGAGAGATGAACCGAAACTCCACCCAGAGGACGCCCCCCACCCAGGAACAAGGGGATGTCACTCACCAAACTAAAGCCTTATCCTGGGCTCGAGAAAATCCAGAGCAGACAGTCCTCCTCCGTCACCCTGCTTCCACTGAGGACTCAATTTCAAGCCAGAAAGGATGAGGCACCCCCAAATCACTGAGCCAGGCATGTGTCCTCAGGCTGGAGGGCAGCTCCTTACATGCTCAGGATGCACAGGGGGTCCATGGTCCCAAGCCCCACCACACTCTGAGGATGCCGGCGTGCAAGAAGCAGCAGCATCACCTGGGCTGATTTCCGTCTCGGGATACTTTAAATAGACCAAGATGCCACTTACTTACTTGCAACAAGGAAAGTAATTATCAAGAGGGTGGATACTTAGGATCGCTGCTGGCACAAGCGACCCAGCCGGCGATTTGGCAGAAGATGTATAATCAGAGGGTGATGCATCAGGCGTGTATGGAACGTGAAACGCTCACAGCGCAGAGCACCAAGATATCAAAGGACCAGTGTCCTCTGCAGAAGTCAGCATCTTCTAAAGACCATCTGCCAGCCCGCAGAGAACACAATGACAAACCAATCCCTCCACAGTCAGGCAGGACAGGAAAAAAGGGCCATTTGGTGAGTTCTCCTTCAGGAAATCTACATCGATGTTTTTACAACTTGTTTGTCAGAGACTCACTTTGTCAGAGCCAAAGATCCCCCACCGCCATCATTTCAAGGACCCTGGCTCCTCCAACCTGCCACACAGCCCTCCAGGGACAAAGAGACAACAGAAACAACAGAGCTGCTTTTGATGGGATCCAATGAGCCGAATCCTGCATACTATCAAATTTCCTTAGTAAACACTGAATTCATGCAAACAAGACAGAGGCCATGCTGACTTTTACAAACACACGTTAATATTAACAGACTTAGCTTTTGTCTAGGGGGGAAATTTAAGATCCACACCCGGACAACAACAGATCTAGGTGCCTGAAGTTCTGCAAAATCTGTTTACCGGTATGAAAAACACAAGGAAGTTATGCAACCGAGCATCAAAGAGAAAGAGGAGTTTGGATCTGCCTGGTGGGCCTTGGATGTCGCCCTGGCCTCCAGCTTCACACACGTCAGGGGCAATGTTGAAGAGATACACGGAGACAACTTGCCTCTTTCCTGAGTTTCCTTGAAGGACCTGCAGACTGGAGTCCCCACTGCCGGTCACCGTTGTCCACATCCACCGGGCCCATTCCACCGGGGGCCATGTCCACCAGGAGGCAAAAGCCATCTCCGCTGAAGAACAGCTTCTGTCGCCCCAATTCCCACCCCTAATTCCTTTGCTGGTATCTCTGGGATCTGAATCTCTTTAAGATGTCACGAAAAGGTTAGCTGCACGGCCAGCCACAAATGTGAGAGCTTCCCCAGCCTCCAGCAGAGATACTGAGGGAGAGACTCTGTGCTCTTCCCATGGCTTCTGCATCCCCGGGCCCTGGCGATGTGTGGCTTTAGAGCACAAAGGGCCCCTGATCTTTCCCAAGAAAACAAGCAAGCGACAGGGAGGGCCGGACGCTTGCAGATTCAAGCTGCTGAATTCCAATGAGGTCTCCCCTGCTTGCAGCTGCCCAGCTGGCACACCTGCTCGGAAGGGACCACCGTTCCCCACGGCCCCGTGCGGGATGCAGTGCGTGGGAAGGGCAAGGGTACACCAAGCCCCTGTGTGGTTCCTTGCCTTGTTTACCGTGAACTTTTCTGCATCAAAGCATCAGAGGCTACCACGGACCCCTAGAATGCCATTCACTTCCAGCACTTCCTGCATTGTTTTCATATTTTCACTCCCTCTCCCAGGAGCGGAGAGCAAGCTAATTATAGGAGGCGGAGAGCAGCTTTTTAAGTTAGCTCTTTTCTCCCTATTCAGTTTCTCAGGGGGCTCAAAAACATTCCCAAGAGCAGGGATTTCTGCAGTCCCCCCACAGAGCCTGGACATAAAAATAAAGCAGCATTTCAGAGTCCCAATGCATAAAAGCAGTTCCCATCGGCTGCTTGATTATTTTTTCCTACCAAAAGAACCTAAAGCACAGGAAATTATTCTGCAAAGGCTCCACACTTTGAAAATGAAAAAGTAACTAATTTAATTTGCCAAGAAGCTGTATTAGAAAGAGAAATGTGCCATTACAGTCTGCTAAAACGACTCTAAATTGTAGGGAA